CATTCTAGATCATGCGGAGGTATAGAATTGAATTTATTTGATATCTAAAATCAGCTGACGTACAAAGAAAATACACACCTGTTGTTTTGGGATTATTTTCTAAAGGAAACCGCGTAAATATTTTGAAATGTGTTTTGCTTATGACTTACAGTATATATCTGCGTGCGTAAATATACGTTGCTTTGTATTGTCTCTGTGTGTTACTACTACTGGACGTGTGCTACTTGTATTGCCCGAGTGAGGGTGTTACTGGTATTGTGTGAGTGTTCATTGTATAATAGTGGGTGAGGAGTGAGTATGGTTTTACGCCGATTTTAGCAATATTCCAGCAATATCACGGCGGGGGACACCAGAAATGAGCTTCAGACATTGTACACAGGTGGGGAACCCGGGTCTTTGGCGTGACGAGCGGACGCTTTAACCACTAGGCTACGCCACAGCCCTTTCATTGTATTACATATGTATGATTATTATAGTGTGTTAGTTATATATGTTTACTATATTTAATGCGTATGACATCTGTATGGTGGTCAACTAGAGTTGTGTATTTTGTGTGTGTGCATGTGTGTGGACTACATTGTGTGTGTGTGTGTGTGTGTGTGGGGGGAACTTAAGTAGACATTCAATTCAATATTCAATGTGTTGATCCGTTGATCTAGTCACAATGTCGAGCTGGTTACGGCTTCAAAACTGTGGTCTGGTTGGTCTGTTAAAGCGTGGTTCCTTCCTCCTTGTCAGCACGCCTGGGGTTACCAAGAGCCATGCTACGTAGTAGCAAGTCGATAAGTACTCACACGCGACATCGAAGGTTCAACCGGAAACGGAAATGAAGTCAAGAGAGCACCGTGATGGCGACAATGAAGTGTTCCTGTTATCTTGTCCTGAACGTTTGTGGTTTGAGATACTATTACAAGAAAAGGAGATGTCAGAGTCATTCCTACCAACTCTCACGCCTTTAATGGCTTGAGACTGACGCAAACATTTGTCTCACGACAAAAGCGATAAATCTTACTCAAAACTGGGTTCATATGAAAAAAGCACATTTTATTAGTTCGAATATGTAGTTTCAGTGACTTTTCTGAGAACATACGTTGTACTTATGCGTTGGCTTAAGGAGCCGAGGGCGGAGGGGATCTCGCGATCTCAAGCTCTTTTCTCTCCTGGGGTACAACTGGAAATAAAGTGTAAAAAACACCTTATGGGACATGCATGCTGCTGAACATGTAAGATCCCCGCATCCCGCCGGATTGGCATGTGGGTGTAATTCAAACCAAAACATGAGTCTCATTAACCTATTCAGACAATGACCTACTTTTCAGCCGATCCGAATTTTCTCGTGTTAAAGTGAAAATAGACGCCACACATACCTATGGTTACACAGAATTCCAATTCCATGTTTCATAAAAAAATGGTATTTACAACTGAATTTTAATTTTAAACTTTAATAACATCGTATTTTATGGCGAGGTGTAGGCAGCACGACCTTAACTAAGACGTCACAGACTGCCACAGTTTGATGAGGTCGTAAAATGATTCACAATGCATCTCGCTCATTGGTTACACCTGTTATGTGTTTTTTGCGCTTATTTAGTGTAGTTTTGTAACGCACAAAGTGATCGATATAATATCAATTCCGTACCAGACCGCCAAACTTTTCTAGCGGCAGAGCCTCGTTTTGAGATTTCCGTGATTTCCAGGTTTCTGTTTGTCGGTGTTCGCTGTACGACATGTTTGTAAGGATTATAAGGAACGTAGTGTTGGCCTGGTTATTGTACTAAGTTGCACAATAGGACGGAACCCGGTCAACAGGAAACGAGATTGTTGTGTAATCAATGTTTTGACTTGGTTCCGTGAGCAGTAACTGCGTCACAGTAACTATGGACATGTAGTCTGTCATACAGACCCTGAAACAAATATATCCAAGAATATATGGCAAGTCTAGATTTCCACAGTTCCGATAATGAAGAAAGTCTCTTTCCTTAAACTATGTTCATTTCAGAGACTAGATGTTAGTCTGTGGACCATGGTGTAATGCTATGAATAGTATCCTGGCTGCATATTAAGGAATATGGTACAGACGTTGATTGATGATCCACCATTTCCACTACCAGTATGGAATTTGGAAGGTGGACAACAGAATAGTGCAGTCAGTAATATAGTATGACCAGAAATTATTGAGAATTTTAGGAATATGTTTAATTGGATTTCTAGTATAAACAACCTTGACCAGCTATCAAATTCCATCACCGATCATGAAACCTGGACAAAAGGAGCGAAGGTTGAACTGGTGCTTACAGCATAGAAATTTTAACTGGGACAATGTCATTTTCTCAGATGAAAGTTCTGTGTGGCTGTTTCCTAATACACTGAAATTCTGGACCAAACAAACTGAAAAACCTTTGTATCAGCGCCCAAAGTACAGTCCAAAATTTAACGTGTGGGGTAGCGTATCTTTGTTAGGGGCAACGCCCCTCTGTGTATTTGAAGGGAATATGAACAGTGAGCGGTACACAGATATTCTCGAGGGACATTTACTTCCATCTGCTCACGTGTTCTATGGACATTTTTGGATTTTCCAGCAGGACAACGACCCAAAACATCGTTCAAAGCATTCACAGGCCTGGTTTCGGACCCAAAATATGACATTATTAGATTGGCCAAGCTATAGCCCTCACCTAAATCCAATAGAAAATGTTTGGGGACTTATGAAGGAAAGTGTCAATGAGAAAAATCTGAAAAGATATTGGTACAGCATGGACCACGACTTTCTAACTTCTTTGATCAGTAGTATGCCCCGACGCATTGAAGCCTGCATTGCTGCCCATGGGGACTTGACAAAATACTAACTGTTCACCTGTCTTTGAATCTAGAGTTATGTTCTGCTAATATTCACATTAAATACGTGAGTAATGAGTGATAATAAAAATTACAATCTTTAAATTCTCAATAATTCAAACAAGTAAATTTGATTTAATTGTAATAAATTATTTCAACCAAAAAGGCGTTAACCGTTTCAGAATACAATAATTATTTAAGAGTATAGTTTCTTTTGATTTTCGAAACTCGAATTTGATTCTCGTATAATTCGGATTTGTTTCTCGTAAAATAAAGTTCAAATTTCAAGAGTTAACTTACACTTATCATGGAAAGAAACAATATCATACACGTGCATGAGATTCAACTTAGGCGCACCTTGGACTCTTTGGGCTGGTTCTTTCAATACTGCCAAATACATCCATACATCTTGGCCATCCATTTATTATACATAAGTATTATTTGCATTATACTGTACAACATAGTAAAATCCTTCTCAGAAAGGGCTCATAGCATCAACATTTATATACTTTAATTAATCTTTACACTGGTCTTTGTGTTTCGTTATCCGGACAATTTCATTCTTATCCAGGGGTAACGGTCAGCTAAGTTACTGTTCACTAAACCATTAATCCAGGTGTCTAACGAATATAGTGTTCAAAGCATTCACCACTAGGCTAATGTGTGTGTGTATAATTTCGCAGAGGAGTCTTGATTTCGACCTGTTTTAGAGTGAGTGAGTGGGGTTAGTTTTACGCCGCACTCTGCAATATTCAGCTACATGGCGGCGGTCTGTAAATAATCGAATCTGGACCAGACAATCCAGTGATCAACGGCATGAGCATCGACCTGCGCAATTGGGAACCGATAGCATGTGTCAACCAAGTCAGCGAGCCTGACCACCCGATCCCGTTGGTCGCCTCTTACGACAAGCATGAGTTACTGAAGGTTCATCCTAACCCGGACCTTCACGGGTGGAGACAAGCATGGATTACTAAAGACTCATTCTAACCCGGACCTTCACGGGTAGGCCTGTTTTAGACACATCATCAATTGAATATAAAAGTGTCCCAGAGGAGTCTTGAATTGGTTGATTTCGACCTACTTTAGAATGGACACATCATCATCAATTGAAGATGAGAGTCCAAAATGGAATGTTCGAAACCTTAGATACCAAAGGCCACAACTTAGGTTGATATGGGAACAGAGTCTCAAAGCGCATACCAATTATACCCCAAATATTCTAAACGGTTGACGCTGACCAACGCCAGGGGAATGAGAATGAATAAAATAGTGGAACACGAATTCAATTTAGAATACAAGAATTATCTCCCTTCATAAAGTCTGCCTGAGCGCGACAACGTGTTCCCATATCGCTTGCACATCTATCACTCGCGTGGCCCCTTTTGACAAGGCGACCGTACCTTACCGTAACTCCTACACTTTGACAGCCAGTTGTAGCGCTAAGATTGTTTTGCAAAACGGATGTATTCTTCAAAATGTGTCGGATTTCAAAGACTTTACTAAAAAAGTCACAAAAATACCTCGAAAGTAGTCTGCTGACAAAATGAGCGTGAGGCGGGATACAGCTCAGGGTGCCGTTGTACAAGCGATCTTAGCGCTCAGGTTACCGTAACTCCCATTCATTAACGTAGACTTAAGGTAGCCTTAGCACTAAGGTTGTTTTGTACAACGGCACCCTGGACACCAGTAATAAAATCGATCGAATATTTGTAAATTATGCAATACCCCATTTGTGTCTGTCCACACATTACGTAATCTTTCTTTTATTAAACTTCGTGAACAAAGTATGCTTTACAACTGTCATAGGTTGTAATGCTGTTTTGATTATTTATCGGCTACTTGCTCTTTCATATATGGTCCCCATTTGTGAAGCGTGGAATGCTCAAGGGGAGACATTAAACGTTAGACCAACGTATTAAAGATACACACTTCTTGTATGGTCACCACGTTGCGTCGATTAGAGTGTGTGAGTGAGTGAGGTTTAACGCCGCTTTAAGCAATATTCCAGCAATATCACGGCGGGGAACACCAGCAAGGGGCTTCACACAATACACCCATGTGGGGATCGAACCCGGGTCTTCGGCGTGACGAGCGAACGCTTTAACCACTAGGCTACCCCACCGCCCCGCGTCGATTAGAAGCATGAATCGAAAAAAGAATACTTTCATAGAAATACATGTATATTTTATTTCGAATAAAGTATATAAAATAGAAAAACGCTATTCTGAAAATAACAAAAGTATGAAGCTGTGAGAATCTACTGATCAAGGACTACAATGAACTAAAACATTCTTACTGTATACATGCATCATTTTTCTGCAGTCTTCTTCTACACCGCTAGGACCTACATTAAAAGCAGAATACTAGAAACAGTAATTTCATCAACTGAGATTTCTCCGTAATGTAAAGTCTGGTAGGAGTGAGTGTGAATGAGTGAGTGAGTGAGTTTAGTTTTATGCCACCTTTAGCAATAATCCAGCAGTATCACGGCGGGGTATACCAGAAATGGGCTTCAAACAGTAGGAAGACGGCAGTGAATGGCTGTAACATGTGTAATATTAACACCTCAAGGTATTGGTGGCTTACAGTGAAAGCTTCCGTTGCACAGATACCTGTGGCAGTAGATAGGGACAGTGGGAATCTCGTTAATCCATTCATGCGCGTCACTAATTAGATGACAAGGCATTTGGCTACCTTAACAGAGTCATAGTTACTCCTGCCGTTTACCCGCGCTTGATTGAATTTCTTCACTTTGACAATGACGACTGTTATTTAAGACTCAACAAATCCAGAAACATCCCTTTAAGAGATACCTGATGGCACCTCTACATGCATCCAGTGGGACATTTGGCTCACAGTCCTTATCAGTTATGCGTTAAACCCGGAGATTGGGTTTGAAGATTTACGGGAACACTCCGATGAAAGACGCTTCACTGTATCCTGGCCAGTGTTGACTGTTATGCATAGAAGATGAATGTTAATACTAATAACGAAGGTGTCCTTGCTTGGTTAATGGTTGCCTCTTGTCTCCACTTCTTACCCCCAGGGGTTCAGGCTGTCTGTCCTCAAGATCTCCTGAGTCTGGGACGCCGGAGGGGGTAGGCATCGCACCTTATCTGAAAAGAGGAACTCGACCTGTTATCACGTTTCAGTATCAGTGGAGACTAGAAACATTTCATGTTCGATTGAAAGTAATTAATTTGAAATCTTTTTTTAAAGTGTTTGCCTTGAATAGCATTTTAAGATTATTTAGGGAAAATAATTCAGCATTATATTTTGACATTTTAAAACATTATATTTTTTTTTTATGATTAAGCTCACTTCATCAATGACAACAATCCATTTATGTATGTTTCTCCGCTTTGTCATATGCGAAATTGCTGATAATGCGTAAATCAATCATCTTTAACTCAATGTCATCCTAAAAACTCCGTGAAACAAACCATTTTTTCTGACCGTGGTTTACACCACCAGTTTGGTAAAAATAGCACCCCTGTTAAGGAATGCGGCACCCTACCAGTAATGTGATAAGACAGTGATTGTACACTCACAGTTATATTTTGTCTGAGCATTACTACACAGGGACGTGTAACCCCCCGACAAGTAGAGAGACTGAAAAGCGGGGTTCCACCAACTTGGGAGTTCACTCCCCTTCTTGACCATGACCCCGGCGCCGCCCTCGTCACACGAGAAGATGTTGGGCAGAGTGTCCAGACCTGTGATGTTGGTCCTTGGAGAAAATAGTGCCTGGGCCTATAGAGAAAATGTTGACTACGTTATTAATTTCTGTGTAATGAAAGGTTATAAGTATAGATTTTAATGAGAACTTCTTAACTGGTTTAAGATCTACTTATTTTAAAAATAATGTTCTTAAGAACACATTGAATCTTTTACAGTTGTATTATTGTGTTATTACATTTGATTGTTGAAGAGACTATCAAGAAAGCTATTTTATCATATACTGAGTCAAAAAAGAAACTTCACAAAATGTATTTTGAAAAATAATGAATAATTTTTCTCTGATGATACATCTATTTATCCGAAATGGGATCCCTTTCTTTCGACTCTAGAAAAACGTTAGCAAAACCCACTCAAACCCATCCATTCGTCGTGCAAATGACGTTAGTGCCAAATCAGGTTTTGCACGTGCAGTCGATCACGTGATCTTCGCATCGAAGTTTTCTTCATATGCACGTGTTTGCATTGACCTCGAGAATTGAAAAAACACCTTTAAACCACAGTTCTAACGGTACTTGAAATGCCACGATTGTCAAATGTGCAACGTGAACGTGCCGTTGGCATGTTGCAAGCGGGAAGATCAGTTATTGACGTCGCAAGAGCAATGGGATGCAGCCGTCGTACTGTGTATGACTTGCGAGGTCGTCTACAACAAACTGGCACCACTTCTGATCGCTCAAGGTCGGGTCGTCCACGTGTGACGTCACGAGCAGAATACCGTCAAATCGTCCTACGTCACCTACGTGACAGATTTCTGCCGGCTACACGAACCAGGGCTGAGATGTTTAGAGGTCGACTGTCCTCGCAGACCATTCGAAATCGGTTGCGGGCTGCCAATCTCCATTCTCGACGTCCATATCGTGGGCCAATATTGACGCCGTTTCATCAACGTCAACGTCTGCTGTGGGCCCAACGTCACCTCCGATGGACCCAGAGAGACTGGAATCGAGTCGTCTTTAGCGATGAATCCAGGTTTACCCTCAGATTCGCGGACGGCAGGCATAGAGTCTGGAGACGACGTCGTGAACGGTATGCCCAATGTTGTGTACAGGAAGTCGACAGATTCGGGGCGGAAGTTGCATGGTGTGGGTGCTTTCTGTGGGAACAACCGTTCCCGACTTCTGGTCATCCGTGGAAACCTCACAGCTGCTGCTTACCGAGACCAGGTGCTCACCCCTGAACTCGTTCCTTTCATGGCGGCTCATGGCCCAGGTCTACAGTTCCAGCATGATAATGCTCGGCCGCATACCGCGATGTTGACACGAAATTTCCTTCAAAACGCTGGAATCAACGTCATGGACTGGCCATCGAGGTCCCCTGACCGTAATCCAACAGAGCACGTTTGGGATGCACTTGGGAGAAGGCTTCGTGGTCTTAGGAACCAACCTCAGAATTTGCAGGAACTTGGCGCTGCCTTGCAAGAGCAATGGCGCAGAATCCCCAACCACGTGTTCACAAGCATCAGGCAGTCGATGAGGAGACGGTGTTTGGCAGTGGTGAATGCGCGGGGCGGCCATACACGATATTGAACTGAGAAATTTCGCATTTTTATTCTTGTGACTTGACATTCTGTATACCCATGTTTTGGAACGGCGGTGTAGCCTAATGGAACTGATTATGGCACTGTCAGTGTATCGAGTACATCACACAGATCCCAGCAATGAAATAATAACAATTTAACCATCTTACCATCTCTTGTTCTTTTATAGTGCCCTGAAGAAAGAATGTGACGTTTCTTTTTTGACTCAGTATATTTTATACTGATCTACTAGAGAGTGAGTGAATGAGTTTGGTTTTACACCGCTTTTAGCAGTTTTCGATCTACTACAGAAGTTTTGATATTCGACCCCGTCATGTAACCCCTACCGTGTTATTAAGCAGGAGTCCCTTGGCGTCGGGAAGATTGGCCGCGATGATAATGCGGTCGAATTTCTTCTTCAAGCGGTTCAAACACTGGGCGTTTGTGGGGGCACCTGTCAGGTGAGCTGGAAGAGAGATATATAACCTTGACATACTAATACTTATGCTATATGATATTGTTGGATATACGGTTCAGTTTACCTTCTCATGTCTTTGCTTTGTGAGTGAGTGTGTGTGTGTGTGTGTGTGTGTGTGTGTGTGTGTGTGTGTGTGTGTGTGTGTGTGTGTGTGTGTGGTGTTTCAGGGGGTTCGAACCCCCCCTTTGGAAAGTGACTTAAGACCACATTGAAAATTTTTGGGGGGGCGTTGGCAGAGCCAAAGGGGGTTTTAGCCCCCATGAACCCCTCCTTTCAAAATTCCTGGATCCGCCCATGCACATGACCACGTGCGTCCTACGAACCCATTCGTATCCCACCTCTACTATACTACTCTCTCTATACCCGAACACCCCAAAACGTTAATATACAACGAACAACAATAAAGCCTACCAAAAAGACGACATTCTATCTGAATATGTATTATTCATACTTAGAAGTATTAATATTGTTTGCTTTGAGCCTGTATAACAGACGTGACAATATATTCAAGATACTTGAATGAACTCACTAAGAGTAAAGTTGGAGTAGTCGTCAGCCTGTGGGTCGAATCCTTCTGGGTTTTGAGGCGCCACGGTGAAGGTGGAGACGGTGCTGAGGTAGGCAGAGGTAAAGTCAAAGCCGCTCTCTCGGTCAATGGTAATGGCGTATCCAGGACACGCGTCAAACCAGCCGGCCATTAGCCCTGCACGATTTAAAGAATAGAGGAAACGTTATTCATTAAAAAAAGGAAAGAAAACATTTTCGTCATCTAATATTGCTAACGATATTTCACTCGAAGCACATTTCTTAGATTAGAAATGTGATTCTGTTAACTGTCTTCAGATCATGTGAGCTAGAGCTGGAGCCGAGAAAACTTCATATATTATTTCATCAAATAATAATATTCATAGGTAGAATATTTTGTTTTTATTGTCATGCTTAATGTGCTGGGAATAGAATAAGATGACCCGTTTGGATTTTCTCCATGTCCAATCAAACTGGTGCCAACCTCTGCCTGGGTAGTTGATGTTCCTGTTTGTGAAGGTGCACTCCGTGAACTCAGCCAGAACCATGGAACATTTCCTTCCCGCTACAGCACAGACTGGAACAGAGAATCGGGGATTCATGGAATAGACTGACTGAGTTTGGTTTTACGCCGCTTTTAGCAATATTCAAGCAACATCACGGCGAAGGACACCAGAAATTGGCTTCACACAAAGTACCCATGTGGGGATTAGAACTTGCGAGAGGACAGGAAGGTAAGTGGTACACATGTGAGAGGACGGGGCGGTATCTGGTACACATGTGAGAGGACGGGAAGGTATCTGGGGAACATGTGTGAGGGTGGGAAGGTATCTGGGGCACATGTGTGAGGACGGGAAGGTATCTGGGGCACATGTGTGAGGATGGGAAGGTATCTGGGGCACATGTGAGAGGACGGGAAGGTATCTGGGGCACATGTGTGAGGACGGCAAGGTATCTGGGACACATGCGTGAGGACGGGAAGGTATCTGGGGCACATGTGTGAGGACGGGAAGGTATCTGGGGCACATGTGAGAGGACGGGAAGGTATCTGGGGCATATGTGAGAGGACGGGAAGGTATCTGGGACACATGTGAGAGGACGGGAAGGTATCTGGGAACATGTGAGGTGGGAAGGTATCTGGGGACACACATGTGTGGAGGAGGCATGGAAGGTATCAGGGCACATGTGAGAGGACGGGAAGGTATCTGGGGCACATATCTGGGGCACAGTGTGAGGACGGGAAGGTATCTGGGACACATGTGTGAGGACAGGGAAGGTATCACATGTGTGAGGACGGGGAGGTATCTGGGGCACATGTGTGAGGACATGGAAGGTATCTGGGGCACATGTGTGAGGACGGGAAGGTATCTGGGGCACATGTGTGAGGACAGGGAAGGTATCACATGTGTGAGAGGACGGAAGGTATCTGGGGCACATGTGTGAGGACAGGAAGGTATCTGGGGCACATGTGAGAGGACAGGAAGGTATCTGGGGCACATGTGTGGGACGGGGAAGGTATCTGGGGCGGGAAGGCATCATGTGTGAGGACAGGAAGGTATCTGGGGCACACGTGTGAGGAGGACAGGAGGTATCTGGGGCACATGTGACATGTGAGGACAGGAAGGTATCTGGGGCACATGTGTGAGGGCGGGAAGGTATCTGGGGCACATGTGAGAGGGACAGGAAGGTATCTGGGGCACATGTGTGAGGGGCAGGGAAGGTATATCTGGGACACATGTGAGGGGACATGGAAGGTATCTGGGGCACATGTGAGGAGGGCAGGAAGGTATCTAGGACACATGGAGGACAGGAAGGTATCTGGGACACATGTGTGAGGACAGGAAGGGTATCTGGGGCACATGTGTGAGGGGGGCACATGTGAGAGGACAGGGAAGGTATCTGGGACACATGTGTGAGGGACAGGAAGGGAAGGTATCTGGGGCACATGAGTGGGACAGGAAGGTATCTAGGGCACATGTGGACGAGGACAGGAAGGTATCTGGGGACACATGTGAGGACAGGAAGGTATCTGGGGCATGATGTGAGGGACGGGAAGGTATCTGGGGCACATGTGTGAGGGGCGGGAAGGTATCTGGGGCACATGTGTGAGGGACAGGAAGGTATCTGGGGCACATGTGTGAGGACAGGGGAAGGTATCTGGGGCACATGTGTGAGGACGGGAAGGTATCTAGGGCACATGTGAGGGCGGAAGGTATCTGGGGCACATGTGAGGAGGACAGGAAAGGTATCTGGGGCACATGTGTGAGGAGGACAGGAAGGTATCTGGGGGCACACATGTGTGAGGACAGGAAGGTATCTGGGGCACATGTGTGAGGACAGGGAAGGTATCTGGGGCACACATGTGAGGGCAGACGGGAAAGGTATCTGGGGCACATGTGAGGGATCAGGACAGGTATCTGGGGCACATGTGTGAGGGAAGGTATCTGGGACACATGGGGACAGGAAGGTATCTGGGCACATGTGAGAGGACGGGAAGGTATCTGGGGCACATGTGTGAGGACAGGAAGGTATCTGGGACATGTGTGAGGGCAGGGGAAGGTATCTGGGGCACATGTGTGAGGACGGAAGGTATCTGGGGCACATGTGTGAGGGGAGGAAGGTATCTGGGGCACATGTGTGAGGACACGGAAGGAATCTGGGGCACATGTGTGAGGACGGGAGGTATCTGGGGCACATGTGTGAGGACAGGAAGGTATCTGGGGCACATGTGTGAGGACGGATCCAGGGCACATGGAGGACGGAAGGTATCTAGGGATGTGAGGACGGGAAGGTATCTGGGACACATGTGTGAGGACAGGAAGGTATCTGGGGCACATGTGTAGGAGGGACAAGGTATCCAGGGCACATCTGGGGCAGGAAGGTATCTGGGGGCACATGTGAGGACAGGAAGGTATCTGGGGCACATGTGTGAAGGACGGGAAGGTATCTGGGGCACATGTGGGAGGACAGGAAGGTATCTGGGGCACATGTGTGAGGGCGGAAGGGAAGGTATCTGGGGCACATGTGTGAGGGCAGGAAGGTATCTGGGACATGTGAAAGGACAGAAGGTATCTGGGGCACATGTGAGGTGGGAAGGTAGGACACATGGGAAAGGTATCTGGGGCACATGTGTGAGGACAGGAAGGAAGGCATCTGGGGAACATGTGTGAGGACAGGAAGGTATCTGGGGCACATGTGTGAGGGACGGGAAGGTATCTGGGGCACATGTGTGAGGGGGACAGGGGAAGGTATCTGGGGGCATGTGTGGGGCATGGAAAGGTATCTGGGGCACATGTGGAGGACAGGAAGGTATCTGGGGCACATGTGTGAGGGCACAGAAGGTATCTAGGGGAAGGTGTGTGGACATGAGGAGGAAGGTATCTGGGACACATGTGTGAGGACAGGGTATCTGGGGAAGGACATGTGTGAGGACAGGAAGGTATCTGGGGCACATGTGAGAGGACGGAAGGTATCTGGGGCACATGTGAGAGGACGGGAAGGTATCTGGGACACATGTGTGAGGACAGGAAGGTATCTGGGGCACATGTGTGAGGGCGGGAAGGTATCTGGGGCACATGTACGAGGACGGGAAGGTATCTGGGGCACATGTGTGAGGGCGGGAAGGTATCTGGGGCACATGTGTGAGGGGGAAGGAAACTGGGGCACATGTGAGGGACCGGGAAGGTATCTGGGGCACATGTGTGAGGACGGGAAGGTATCTGGGACACATGTGTGAGGACAGGAAGGTATCTGGGGCACATGTGTGAGGGCGGGAAGGTATCTGGGGCACATGTGTGAGGCGGGAAGGTATCTGGGGCACATGTGTCAGGGCGGGAAGGCATCTGCGGCACGTCTGTGAGGGGGGGAAGGTATCTGGGGCACATGTGTGACATGGACGAGGAAGGTATCTGGGGAAGGTGTGTGAGGGGCAGGAATGTATCTGGGGCACATGTGTGAGGGCGGAAGGTATCTGGGGCACATGGAGGGCGAGGACAGGAAGGTATCTGGGGCACATGTGAGGGCATGGAAGGTATCTGGGGCACATGTGTGAGGGCGGGAAAGGAATCTGGGGCACATGTGTGAGGGACGGGAAGGTATCTGGGGCACATGTGAGAGGACGGGAAGGTATCTGGGACACATGTGTGAGGACAGGAAGGTATCTGGGGCACATGTGTGAGGGCGGGAAGGTATCTGGGGCACATGTGTGAGGACAGAAGGCATCTGGGGCACATGTGTCAGGGCGGGAAAGGCATCCATGGCACATGAGGGCGGGAAGGTATCTGGGGCACATGTGTGAGGACAGGAAGGTATCTGGGAACATGTGTGAGGGCAGGAAGGTATCTGGGGCACATGTGAGGGGCAGGAAGGTATCTGGGACACATGTGTGAGGATGGGGAAGGTATCTGGGGCACATGTGTGAGGGCGGGAAGGTATCTGGGACACATGTGGAGGACAAGGTATCTGGGACAGGGACGGAAGGTATCTGGGGGCACATGTGAGAGGACGGAAGGATCTGGGGCACATGTGAGAGGACAGGGAATCTGGGGGTATCTGGGACACATCTGGGACACATGTGAGGACAGGAAGGTATCTGGGGCACATGTGTGAGGGCGGGAAGGTATCTGGGGTACATGTGTACGAGGACAGGAAGGTATCTGGGGCACATGTGAGGGCGGGAAGGTATCTGGGGCACATGTGTGAGGGCGGAAATGGAAAGGAAACTGGGCATCTGGGACGGGAAGGTATCTGGGGCACATGTGAGAGGACGGGAAGGTATCTGGGACACATGTGTGAGGACAGGAAGGTATCTGGGGCACATGTGTGAGGGCGGGAAGGTATCTGGGGCACATGTGTGAGGCGGGAAGGTATCTGGGGCACATGTGTCAGGGCGGGAAGGCATCTGCGGCACGTGTGAGGGCGGGAAGGTATCTGGGGCACATGTACGAGGACAGGAAGGTATCTGGGGCACATGTGTGAGGGCGGAATGTATCTGGGGCAGGACATGTGAGGGCGGAAGGTATCTGGGACACATGTGAGAGGACAGGAAAGGTATCTGGGGCATGTGTGAGGACGGGAAGGTATCTGGGGCACATGTGAGAGGCGGAAGGTATCTGGGGCACATGTGTGGGGCGGAAGGTATCTAGGCACATGTGTGAGGGCGGGAAGGTATCTGGGGACACATTTGAAAGGACAGGAAGGCATCTGGGGCACATGTGTGAGGGTGGGAAGGTATCTGGGGCACATTGTGAGGGCGGAAAGGAAACTGGGGCACATGTGTGAGGACGGGAAGGTATCTGGGGCACATGTGGGAGGGCGGGAAGGTATCTGGGGAACATGTGTGAGGACGGGAAGGTATCTGGGGAACGTGTGAGGACGGAAAGGTAGCTGGGGCACATGTGTGAGGACGGGAAGGTATCTGGGGCACATGTGTGAGGGCGGGAATGTATCTGGGACACATGTGTGAGGACGGGAAGGTATCTGGGGCACATGTGTGAGGGCGGGAATGTATCTGGGACACATGTGAGAGGACAGGAAGGTATCTGGGGCACACATGTGAGAACGGAAATGTAGCTCGTGCACAGGGATATAAAAATAGGCATCTGGGTCAAATAGTTCCAAATCTTAATGAGTCATCCGGGCTTTAATACAGTCCTATTTTCAGATATCAGTGAATCAGCCAACAGACTACACCGTTTGAAATTCAAACTGTTCATAGACATTGACGATGGCGTCTACAATTGTTGTAGGCGCGATGATTTCTCGTACCTGCAGTAACAAGATCAACATCGAACCCGGTCAGCTGCCCCATATCGTCTCTGCAAACAGTACAATAGGGAAAGGTGAATATCACATTAATTTGAAGGGTGTAAGTAAAATACCAAAAAAAGCACCTTTATATCCAAAGGTAAAGACATGATCACAATTTGCTACACAACACCATAAGGGCACCATTTTTTTGTGTTTCACGTAGCCACCAAATTCTCAACATGGGTCGGTCGGTCAGGGGGGAAAAAATCAACAACAAAAATACCAACTTAATAGAGACAAAATTTTCTGAATGTCCTTGATCCTCATTTATTGCAAATCTTATTACAATTTCTCGCGTTCTTTGGACTCGTGGCAGCGACTGATTCAAAGATAAACAGTTTGTATGACGAGGCGGTACATTTTACGTTCGACGCGGCGGTGTGGGCATGAAAAAAACCCGTTTCTGGGGGGATTGTGGGTTGGGGGTGGTCAATAAAATTAGAAGGTTCGGTCGGGCGATGAGAAACACAGTACATAAAATTAAAATGCTGCCCTAAGTACCAAAGGTTGGAAGCCTAGATCTACATTCGACTATCTACTTACAAAAAGTTGTACGGGCGTTTTCGTCCATCCACAGCAAACAACCAGACTTTATTTGGGTCCGCCTGAATGAAACATGCAATATTAGCTAACGACAGCTACACGCCAAAAATAATACTGAGAGTCGGTGAGTTGGTTTCGATGTTATTTTTAGCAACAAAAGCCTTCATACCAAAGATCAAATTGTCCTCTATTAACGGGCCCAATCCCGGGAACCGTTATAGCCCATAATGGGTAATGCATTGTTTACAACAGTGGGATATAATACGTGAGTAGTTTCTCAGGCAGCTGGAACAGTATTCCAGCAATATCACAGGTTCAGGCGAAGTCCGAAATACTGCGCTCTCACACAGGCCCTCGTGTCTTTGCTAAGATTAAAGATTAAAAAAATATATATTTTTGAGAAGACCCCCGACTCGAAATGCTTCACAGTACAATACAACATGTCATAATGTGAAGCATTTCGAGTCGGGGGTCATCTCAAATTTTGTATATATTTTTTCAAAATCTATAATCCTCGGAAAGACACGAGGGCCTGTGCGCTCTCGGTGTAAAAATTCCGGAATAACGAATCATGTAATGATATTGGTACACAATGCAACCTCGATAGTTCAGACCTCGTTACCATGGAAATATACACAGCAAAAATAACTTGGTTTCCGCAATGCGGAAACCTGGTGGAAAGTGGACTGAAACTTAAGTTTCCACCTAGAATCCAGTGAGTTTCCGTTCTTTTACATTGAGTTTCCGCAATAACGGAAAATTACAATTACCCACTTTCTAAGGGTTTCCGCAAGGTTTCCGTTACCCACACTCCAACAGGTTTCCGCAAGGTATCCGTTACCCACACTCCGACAAGTTTCCGTTGAGTTTCATTAACTTTGAATCCATCAGGTTTCCGCAAGGTTTCAGTTATTAATAAGACTCCAACAGGTTTCCGCAGAGTTTCAGTTACCAACAATCCGACATAGTTTCCGCAAACAGTAGAACACGGATATAACGAACTCCAAGGGACAGGGCAAAACATTTGGGCATAACTCAATCAAGTTTAAGAAATCATATATCATTTATAACAAAGTAGTAATTTTTCATCAGTGAAACTTTCATTCACTTATTATCTTGAAATAGCATGTTAGATATGAAATTTATTTCTAAAATCATGCTAATGGTGAAAAATAACATTAACATACAGCTTAACCCAGTAATAAAACATACATGTAGCTGCATCGGACATTTATTTGCACGCCTTGGCATTCAGCCACACACTCTATGTCACAACTATCGCCAAACATCCACTATGATATACATCATTCAATAACACAACATACAGCTTACAATACAAAAATAAAATAAAAATTACATTACGAAATTGAAAATAAATTCAATTATATTGCAAGAGTTGGTCAGTTAGCCCAATAAGGGGCATCCCTGGGCGGAGATCCCTCCGGTTGATTGGATGCCTCATCCTCGTCCTCACGTTGGCCATGACGAGAGCAGTGGAGGTGTAGATTCTTTCCAAGTCCAGTGTCGTCGTGTATGCCCTAAGCTTGCTGGACTCCCAGACAAAGGGGACGGAATGCAACTAATTGACGTCATCTTCGTCACTCACGACTGGTGATGTCATGTCTATGGTGAGTGTTGTCGCTACCTTTTTCTTTCGTCTATCTGGCCAATCGACAGATGCAAGTCTGTTTAGGCGTTGTGCAAGTTTCTGAAAATGGCAGGTAATAACGAATTACTAGGTTATTTTGATAAATTACACAAACATCAATCAACAAGAAACTGACAATGCCAAGGATGATTTAAAATGAGTAATGCAAAAGGAAGTTTGAATAAAAGAGAACCAAATTGAACAATCACACTTTGCACTAGTTTTATGATACTAGTAATAGATTTTCATCAAATTGCTATATTCAATCTCTTACAGTTCGTATTGAGCCCATTTCTGGTGTCCCCCGCCGTGATGTTGCTGGAATATTGCTAAAAGCGGCGTAAAACCAAACTCAGTCAGTCAGTCGTATTGTTGAAGGCACAAGTATATTCACACAGTAGTGACTGTATGTTTACACCATTAAGTCTTTGAGGTGTATTTAGAAGTGAATAATGCAAGACATGAATGTTTACGGATGACAACGTCTTGTGAAAACACAATGTTTCGGAGTGAATGCTTACACCTGAAGAAGGGGTAAGCATTCACTCTGAAACATGTTTTCACATAATAAAGGAGTTGACATCCATAAACCTTGTCTCTACACTATTAATTGGAAATTATTTACTATTTATAATGAAAGTCACTACAGATAGGTCAAAATTACCTTCACATGTTACTGCTGACCATCCTTGATCATTTGTTATACAGTCTCCAGACTCATCATCAGCTTTGCTGAAAAAAATAAACAATAACACGTTACTTTTCTTTTTGCATTTCCCCATTCATTCATTCGAGTTTTAAAACCCCTTAAACCTGCAGCGACATTTATACCAACAAGCAAACTACAGATTTATCACTTTAGGTTATGCAATCAGTAAGTGAACGGCCTGACATAAACATCCTGATGAATGAAGTTTAGTTATCTCATGTGACATAACCTTGGAGTAATTACGGTATTGTAAAATCAAGGGGTCAGTTTGACTGCAATTTCACACAGGTGTGAAGTTAAGATTTATTTGGTCCAATTTGAAATCATGATTAAGTTACCGGTTATTCAAATCCATTTGCAAATGTAACTTTAGTATGGTTCATTTTGTGAAAATGTATCTAGGGAAGCATAATAATAAAATATTCAAAGTGAAATTTTGTCTATGTTTCGTAGTACCATAAAATAAACACATACCTTCAGTAAGAGAGGGTGATCTTTTCCTCCAGTAGTAGTCGTGACACATGTTTCCTCACAACAGCCTAAATGAATAAAACAAATCCATTAATATATAATCTATTTGCTATATTTTTCAAAATTGTAGTATATTTTTAGATAGACTTATTTTACTTCACCAACCTTAGTTCGAGCAAAACAGTTAATACAGTCATGGGACTTAAATATACGTCCTTCGGCAAAATTCTCATAGACTTGCATGCTATTTTAGTGTAGCTGTGTAATTTTCATTAATTCAGTTTTCCATATTTGGTTGTCAAATTTTGCAGGTTGTTAGGAAATCATCTTGGTCACAGATACATAATTTCCACATTGTAGTTACATGAGCAACATATATACAACATTGCGTATTCTTTCCCCATAGACCATGACACGCACTGAATTGAAAATAAAACGGAAATTATGTCTTTGTAGCTGAGATGATTCATGACCCATGTGCAAAATATGAACAATATCAAACGGATATTAAATAAATTCAAGACATATTTCTAGCTGCACCAAATTAACATGTAAGTCGAATAATGCATAGTGACGAATACCTATGGCCAGTGGCTGTAATTCGATAGATTAGCTTGTTTACCAATCCAGATTTCTGTACGTAAAGTAAATAATTCATTAAACGTTATTTGACAACAAAATAAATTGGTCTTACCTGACAGGGTCGTGGTACTGCGAGTTTTTCGCAGCCATTTCCATCTTTCTTTTCCAGGTAGCGAATTCTCTCTTCCAGTGCTTTGAGGGAAACTGAGGCGGCTATGAAAATGGCGTCTCGCAAAGACTCAAGGGAAAAACACTTTGTTGTTGTTTTTTAATCTAAATCTAGCATTACAGTTTGACAATATCTTTCCGCGTTATACAACAAAATAAAGATACACTATACACCTAAAATGTCAGCTGTGTGTTTTTATAATGATTTAGGTAGTCTCGCGTGGACGTGATCCTGTCGCCATTGTTTTATTTGTTTGAAAGGTGGAAATGAGCAGATTGAATGTGAGTACCCAAAGTGACAACAGTGGGCTGTTATGGGCTTAAGGGTCTTTTCATCGGATTATGGGCACTAATTGCTCCTCCTCAGTGTCAAGCATCAACATGTAGGCCTAGAGATAATTAACAGTGAATAAATCTGAAAACATATTCACGTTACTTTAATAGTCCTGGGTGCCGTTCCACTAACCGATCTTATCTAAGATCAATCTAAGCAAGTTACGCCAATTTTACAATCGTCTTAGCTAAAAGTTACACCCGGGCAAGATTACAGAATACCGGATACCTATCCGCCATTTTTATTTTGATTGCGCATTTATTTTTGCGCACTACACCCGTTCCACTAACCGATTTTAGGCCGATTGTAGCCGGTCCCGATCTTACGATCCGATCCAAGCTTAGTTCGAGACTCTTTCGTGCGAGAGATAGAGGAATGCGAGGCACGAGTTATCTCCCTTTGCATAGTCTAGCAAATGATGGAAGTAGTTTACGAACCAACTGAGTGAGTGAGTGAGTTTAAATTTTAAGCCGCACTCAGCAATAGTCCAGCTATACGGCGGCGGTCTGTAAATAATCTAACTAAGATGCATAGCGTTCATTCTACCATGAATCAAGAAAATACTAGATTCTGATTGGTTGTTCAGAAAAATCAGACGGCATCAATTGTGGATTGACGCTCATCTGATTGTAAGGCCGCTTCACCGCGCATTGACAAATCTTATTGTGAGAACTACTTCCGTTTGACCACAATGATGGCGGATCATAACAACAACTCCATGGATTTTGACGCTGACTTTCGAATTTTCCACATAGGCAATTGGAAATTTTTGGATTAAAAAATGCGTTTGATTTCATTGCGCTTCACTGAGCACGTATAGAACACTGCCGCACTACTTCAGCTTGACCACCAACATGACTAATATCAACACAACAGACGTGATGGAAATGCTGATAAAACATTTATTTAAACTCGAAAATACAATTATATGGTATATACCTGGTAAATGGTATATTTAATTCCGTTTAGAATGGGAAATTTGCAAGATAGATCTAACGGTCTGGCGAAACACCACATTTATGCCACTCATAGTCATACTCCATCATATCCCGTTGCATCGTTCACAAAATAATTCTGCTCTCTGCCAGCTTCCCCGCTAGGTTGTCACTGTTATGTTCATCTACTTTGAAAAACGCTTGGACACAGTCCAGTCCCAAACGATGAAAACGCTACGGGTTCGGTTCCAATTGAAATTTAGTCGCCATCAATTCAGTAAAGCATGTCTCTGATTTTCAAACACACTAGGTTTATCTCCTAACTAACATGAGCGTTCATGTTAGTTAACGCTATGTATCTTAGCTATAAATAATCGAGTCTGGACCAGACAATCCAGTGATCAACAGCATGAGCATCGATCTGCGCAGTTGGGAACCGATGACATGTGTCAACCAAGTCAGCGAGCCTGACCACCCGATCCCGTTAGTGGCCTCTTACGACAAGCATGGGTTACTGAAGTTCAATATTCTAACCCGGGCCTTCATTGGTATTTTTCCAACCAAGTGTAAACGTGGAGAAAAAGGCTGGAGCAAAATATTAGGGTAGTGAGCACCTTGGTTTCAGGTGCAAGTGCGTGTGAACGCTGGGTATCAGGCATAATATAATAATAATAAATGCATATTTATAGTGCGCCTATTCCACATCCTGGGGCATGCTCAAAGCGCCATGTACAGATAATTTACACGAGAGCATTTACAGCCGAGATTGTAAGTAATAAACTGAGAACAGGTTTTAAGTCTGGACTTTAAAAATGTCAATTGTGTCAGAGCTTTTGATATGTGCCTGAATAACACGCGGTCTGCCTTTAGAATCCCCCCACCAAATATGCGCAGTGAAATCAAACATATTTGTATCTTTTTGCTTCAGAACATTGTTCACTTCACGGCTGTCCCTATTCTTAACCATGACGTTGCAATATTGTTGTACAATACAAATGTGTTACACCGACTCGCTCGGTTGTGTTCCCATGACGACAGTGGTCAGACTGGCCTGACATTTGTAAGGCTTCAGTGCAGTGTTTGTTTACATCACAGAAATATACAAATTCATTTCAAGGGGGGATTTTAGGGGACGCTCACGGTGAAATGCTCGCTCTTATTTTTCACATAGAATAGGAAAGCCACCATTTTGGTTTCTCTACGATTGATTTTAGCTATCCTAAGTTGGTCATGAGCAACTTAGACTTTGAATCTTAACTTTACGATTGACTTAGGTAAGATTGGTTAGTGGAACGGTATGCCGATCGTAACGTCACGCTAAGATTGGGATTTTATGGGTTTACGATTGGCGTAGGGCTAAGATCGGTTAGTGGAACGGCACCCTGATCGAGCTTCATGAGTCCTACTCATGAGAACTTGTGTTAGTGACAAATAGGTGATTTTTCAAAACCCTGTCAGGAGTAGGCAATATACGAAAATATTTTTGCTGGACGTAAAACTTCATCATGTAAGTAATTTACCCATTGAGCTCCAAACATGCAAGTGTTTTAGACATGCTTATATCATGTTCATTCTTTTCAGTTCTACACCTAGATATACTATTCACATGTATTATAAGTTAAATTATCTAATTTTGCAGTATATATTGCTAGCTTATATGTAATGTCAGCTCAATATATCTGAGTGAGTGAGTTTAGTATTACGCCGCACTCAGCAATAATCCAGCTATATGGCGGTATTTATCCAATTATACCAGTTCATCTGTTTTATCATTTTATAACCATTAAAAAAATTATTACATATACTTTACACTCATAGCTTTGTGTAATAATTTGTGTAATCAATTATTAAACCTCTTAGCCTTACAATGCATTGACACAAGTCACGTATGACATTTCTAAAAGAATCATTGTTTCAATTTACAGATACGTATTGTGGATCTAGGGACTTGTTGGAGATTGACAAGAGGCTTGGCTTGGTAATCATTTATAGTTACACCCTACCATGCTCCTAATTTCATTAAAGGAAATCTTAAAACAATATTTTTTATTCATCAGCATTTAGTCAAAAACAAGTAAACACTAAATAGATACATAGAATAAATTTCTTTATCTTTGTGAAAAATATAATCACTCAAAATGTAACAGTGCGTGGATTCCAGTGTAATTATAAGTTGATATGTTTTTCAGTTCCAAGAAGAAGATCAGTTTTCTGTCCGCACTGCCAGTCGCTTGTTTCAAGGAAACAAGGAATCCGTCTGGAATGGACGGCAGTTTCTCATCAGGTTAGTCGTCAAAGATACTTCACTTCATAGGTTTCACTTAACGACTTCAGTTTGATCTGTCCCTTTGTTATCCATCATATATCAATAATGAATATATTTAATTATTGTATATCAAATATGTAACTGTAACTGAAAGTGAATAAGTTGTGTTACACATTTTACAGTTTTTAAATTAAAGTAAAGGTCACATTAAAAAATAATATTTTTTGTTATTATATTGCTGTGAATGTTTCTTTAGAGGGTTGATAAAACTATAAGAAATACCCACGATTTTTCATTCATGGGAAATGCTAGGTTTTGTATGCTTTTCTCAGTTGAGTTGGTCATTTCAATTTGAAATGAATAAGATCACATATATAATCAGGTGTTACATTCAGTGTTTAAACATGATTCGTATCTATTTAAAATATGTATGTACCGTTTTACCTATTCTTAGATTTCAATTTGCGATTTGGTAGTAGATGTTACCTTGAATATGAGTACAGTAACAGTAATAAATATTACCACAATTTGCTTCAGAATACTGGGTTGGCTACTATTTTCTGGTACCAATCAATCAAATAAGTGACATGTCCAATGGAAGATACAATATACATGTATACTACAGATCTTTCCTTTGTGATTGTGAAAAAAAATCTTTTGGTTACATCTACAAATTAGTCGTTCTAATTTTATAATTTCATTGTGATCAGATATACCACTGTGCATGTTTTGAATATGTATACATGTGTTACTTTGGCTGTTTTGTAGTTTTACTAAGCATTGTATGTATTGTATTTGCAGGATGATGCAGAGTCTGTGTGGGACGATGAGCATGGCAACGATGTTGTGCCAGACATCAACCAGGACTCTTCATATTCACCCACAGATCTTAAGTAGAGCATACACCATCTGTTTGCGGTTGTGGACTGGTTCAAGCCTTGTTGTAATCAACTTGGTTATATTTCCCCTTTCTCTGTGTGGCAAAACAAATGTCTCAACTCAGGCTCTGCTTCATATGTACCAGATCAGAGGATTGCTGTCAGCTCAGTATGAGTGCAATAGAAGCTTCATGATTGTCAGCAAGTTGCCAAGTCTTTACTATGTGAGATTGTTAGTGTGTATATGTTAAGATACATTGAGGCAGCTTCAAATGTACACTTCATGTATATGGGCCCATGAACTTTCATACAATAAACATTTGAATTTGAATTTAAAATCTGTTGAATAAATATCACAGCAAGTATGTTATGCCTGCACTAGTAGACATCATTTCATCATATGCATAAAATGTTGTAGGGTTTTGACATATTTGTATTTGCATATTCATACAGAAGTTGTGTTCTCCAATGCTGAAGATTCCCTCTTGATGTGGCTTCTCTCATACATACATACATACATACATACATACATACATACATACATACATACATACATACATACATACATACATACATACATACATACATACATACATACATACATACATACATACATACATACATACATACATACATACATACATACATACATACATACATACATACATACATACATACATACATACATACATGGTTCTGTTGAAATGTGAGCTATTCAAAATAATGAAACAGATGAATCATATCAGTGACTGTGTTACTGTGTTTGTAGTTTTTCGTGTACAATGTAATAAATGGTACATTCACAAGTTATGCAGAATGGTAGTGAGTTACAAAGTCCCATCGGCAGCCATATCGTGAAAGTCGTAAATCTAAATTTGTAAATGTGTACATGAAATAAAAACAAACTTATATACCTACCTGTCTTATAAGGACAGTAAAATAACTAGTCTATCACAAATGTACACTAAAAACTGGCATGTAACCATAAACACTTTAACGGTACAGTATAAAAATGGGCTATAGATTGCCAACACCTGAAGGTTGATCAACATACTAGGGACTACGGGAACGTACAGTACTTTTGCTTCCTGCATGGACCCTAGCTGGATTCTGTATATAGAAATTATCTTGCAAATGTAACAGTAAGTAAATATTGTCCCCCAATGGAACAGCACAAAGCTAAGTTTGCCATTTCATCTAAGCTGAAACCAACAGAAACCTAGCGGAAACCTACATTACCCAGTATTCAATAGGTTTCCGCAATAGCGGAAACTAAGTCATTTTGCTATGAATGTTTCAGCGAACTGAAACTAAATGGAAACGCATAATGATAGTTTCAGTTGTAGAAACTTGACGGAAACCTAGATTTGTTAGTTTCAGTTTTGTAAACTATGCGGAAACTCGCATTGTCTGTTTCCGGATACTGAAACCTAGCGGAAACCTACATTACCCAGTATCCATTAGGTTTCCGCAAGAACGGAAACTAAGTTATTTTTGCTGTGTTTTTTATCTCCTGATGTCAGTCACTGGATTGTCTGATCCAGTCGCCATCATATATTCTCAGGCGGAATAGTTACCTGCTTGACATCTTGGCGAAATTCTTCCACACGAGCTACGTGGCATCCTGACAGCGAGACGAAGATGGACAATACAAAGATCACTGCTTCCATTCTGACCTGAAATCATACAGTTGTCTATCAAGCATGCACTTCAGACACAGAGCCCCCATACCTTAGGCAAATACAAATCAAGTATATAAACTGAAAACAGAAGTGATTACTAAAATTTGTTACTGCTGTAGACATGTAACAACGAACTAAGCATACCACAGCGCCCAGAACAGAACGATCTATACAAAAATAGCCATCCGTGTGGATCTAGGTTGGAGTTGGTCTTCAGAATCCATGCTCGTTCTAAGAGGCGGCTAACGGGATCGGGTGGTCAGGCTCGCTGACTGGGTTGACACATGTCAACGTATCCCAAATGTGTAGACCGAGGCTCATGTTGTTGATCTCTGGATTGTCTGGTCCAGACTCTAATATTTACAGACCGCCGCCATTTAGCTGGAATATTGCAACAGACAACAAACAAACAAAACAAAATACCAGGCCACACAGTATATTACATTATATATAGTCAGTGACAGTCAGCCCAATGAATGGCTTCAGTTAGGTACTGCTTACCAGCTGTTAACTAATTCCCGAAGAGTTCCTATCGGGATTTAAGAACAACATTTCGTACCTTCGATCTTCACGCCGAAGTCCCGGGTTCGATTCCCAACAGAACTACAACGTGTGAAGCCTATTTCTGGTGTCCCTTGCCGTGATATCGGAATATGGAATGGGGCTAAAGGCGGCGCAATACCACCTGCACTGACGCTGGGATTTCTTCTTGGTTCCCTTCCTAATTGTCGTGGGAACTCATTTATGCATCAGCAACCATCAACCATATTCACAGACATGCAGACTCTCTCCATCATTATGATGATGCTCGTTATGTCCCATACAGTGCTGCTCGTTAACCGTCCTCGTTCCTGCGCATTATCGGCGGAGCGTATTGATCTAAAGCCTCAATACCGAGGTGACACATCGTACATCATGGGCGGATCCAGGAATTTTGAAAGGGGGATGGGTGGGTGGGTGGGGTGGGATGGGTGTGTGTTTGGTTGTGTTTCAGGGGAACCCTGAACCCCTTGGCTCCGCCAACGCAAAAACTTTTTTCAATGTGGTCTTAAATCGAAACACACACACACACCCAACCCCCTGATCCGCCACTGTACATGAACAACACGGTAGATCAGCGGTGCGCGAAATCTGTAACCATCACCTTTCATTAACACATGAGGAGCTGTATACAAGGGTGCATTGTTGTATGTTCATCGGTGTTCCTGTATGATGTGTCGACGATTCACGTTATGTAAGATACCGGCCATCTTGTTTAAACGGGGTGTTCTTTTACATAATTGCTTTTACATAAGTGTTGAGTGGTTGAGAGAGGGGCAGTGTAACGAGTAATACTGAGCCTAAGTTTACTTAGACTGAGCAACCACGTCCCAAAGTTTGGAGTTGTATTTAAATTTGTGTCATTTATTTATACCAGTACTTTCATTTATGATATACATTCAATCTCCGCATAGATACGAACTAGACACACTGCATAATTTTGCTTTCAATAAATATGTAATCTTCTTATTATTTCGTAACATCATACTAATGATACTGATATCAAAATAAATTCAACCTTTGTTATTTTGTTTTGAACATTGTCGGTTGTGCGGAATCAAATTCTCAGAGGGATCAAACATACAATAAGATAAGAAACAACGTGTGATTCAGTAACGCTGCTGATCGCGTTATAAAGGGGAATTGATGGAAGCGCAGCCGACAATCTCCCACAAAATTGCAGAGGTGGTCTGTTTCACAGTCCCTGAACCACATTATTTCCCCTTCTACCCAGCCCTCCCTGCTGTGCTAAAGCCGTAAATGAAGCAAGTCTAGATTTCCATAGGAATCTCTCAACTCACTAGGGCTCCTTTTCACTTTAAATGGGTTTATTTGTTACTATCAATACGATGTATATTCAGGGACTAAGCGTTAGTCTATTGTGAAGGTTGCACTGGCTCGTGCTACACAACGCCGTAATGACCATATACATTATACCTCCGACCGCTATAGCTAGTGACCTACCTGCTGGACTGTGGTGGCCAACGCCGGATCGGTTAATGAGTGGACGTTCTCACCTGGACAGATCGTCTGCTGCTCTCGGTCACGTGGGCATGTTATACAACGGGCGGGATTTTCTATTTGCGTATATCACGTGACTGTCGGGTCTCGTGACTTGCGCCCTGCGTGCCTTTATTTTGGCTTGTTGTATGACATGAATGGTTTCAGTTGCATAAAGGACTCATAAACTACTTTGTGTGTTTAATGAATGAAGTCTTCCACTTGTTTAGTGTAAACATCTAGACATTTCACGACCCTCGAATAACTGCACTGTCAAGATTGTATGAAAAAAGTCCGCCGGAAAAAAAGTCCTCGGTAAAAAAGTACCGGAAAAGATTTCTCCGGAAAAAAGCCCTATTATTATAAAAACTATTTATTCATCAACTTTGATGTCAAATATTTTTGAAAAACATTGATAACTCACACATATGGATTAACAAATAGATAAATTGATCTAGAAAGAACAATCTACTGTGAGAACTGTCATCGCCCAGGAGCTGTATATGTCAAGATGCAGAAACGTCTACACAAGCTATGTCTTGACATGGCAACAGGAAGAAAATCAATCCCCCAGTTCCTACATGGCGTGGCAGAGAACTATCATGGAATAATAATTCATACGAAAAATCAATATTAATTATTACCACTACAAACGATATATTAGGATTCAGATATTAGGAAAATATAAATATAGAATATTAGTTTCATCATGTATCAGTAATAGCTTAGAGAAGACTCCAGTCAAAAGTAATAAAACTCATCTTACAGACATACTATTAAAAAAGGTCTAAGTTACGACTGCACAATTTCACAGATGTTCTAGATAATATTCACAAATATTCTGTAGTAGGAATAAGGCTGAAAACCTCTGTAATGTATACAGGATCTGTCTATTTTACATGTATAAACATACAATACATGAAAGTCAAAAAACGCTTTGAAAAACTATGAAAAACTAAAAAAATACTTTTTATTCTTTTGTCAAAAATTCCCGTTTCAAATAGGACTTTTTCCCGGAGGACTTTATTTCCCAGTACTTTTTTCCGAGGACTTCTTTTCCGCACGCCGCTGGCAAAGACTTGCTACGCGCCTAGTAAGAGGCGGCTAACGGTATCGGGTGGCGTGGTTGACACGTCATCGTATCCCAGTGGTTCATGATGTTAGCCACCGGTCTCTCTGGTCCAGACTCGATTACTGACTGACGGCCATAATCCAGCTGGAACAAACACCCCCACCCCACCCCCAAACCAAACCAAACCAAACCAAACAAACACCGACATCGCCACCGCTGCTGCAACTGTATGCTTGAAATACTCTCTTGTAGCACCGATGTCGAGTGTCTGCCGTGTAGACTTAGTCACAGGGCCTGTCGTTACTTAAATATTTCCAAATCAGTTAATATTACGAATGTCAGAAATGCACCGAGTAAAGGCGTATACAGGAAAGTGCATTTCTGAATTCGTATAAATTGAATAGCTATAATTGAACGGGTAACTACATGTACACAAGGTCCTGCGGTGTGGGTGTCATCCTTTATACGGAAAATATTACTGTTACATTGATATACTGTCGTCACCATACCTCAGACACAATGTGAATGCTCTAAAGCCAGCCTAGGGGAAGTCAAATACTTGTGGGAACTCTGTTGAAGTAAACATTAGGATTGAGTGTCACTGTCATTGAGTTTTATGCCGCCTTTAGCAATATTCCAGCAATATCGCCAGAAATGGGCGTCACAAACTGTACGCATGTACGGAATAGAACCCGGTCTGCGGCGTTACGCTTTAACCAAGGCTAACCCACCGCCCCTAAAAATTAAAAACACGTTATTTTTTTCTCGGTTCAACTTATTTATTTTTATTTTCACATGTTTCATGTTTGCAAATTTACAGTTCGGTTTGTCGTTTACAACAGTATATACACACAATTTGACATACATGAGGTGCATGAAATACAGTGACCTTTACAATTTACAGTCAGTGAGGTAAAGATACATAGATCAACTTATCAATATGGTATGTAATGATGACCAGAATGTACAGAATTTAACATTGTTCTCAGTTTAGCGCATGTAATGTATATACAATGTCATACACAAACCTAAACGCATGCATTTAGAAATAGTCTGAATAGATATTTATTATGATTGTGAAACCATTGCCAAATTTATTATTTTCGAAATGTCTCGATATACGGCATATGCATCGTGACATTGTGTTGCAGTCTGCACACACGACAACAATAAATTATACGAAGCATTCGTAAAATATCGGATTTAATGTGAGATGGATGGTAATATGAGTGAGTGAGCATGGTTTTACGCCGCTTTTAGCAATTTTCCAGCAATATCACGGCGGGGGACACCAGAAATGGGCTTCACACATTGTACCCATGTGGGGAATCGAACCCGGGTCCTCGGCGTGACGAGCGAACGCTTTAACCACTAGGCTACCCCAACGTCCCGATGGTAATATGAGGTGAGGTGAGATGAGGTGAGGTGAAATTGGGTTTAACGTTGTGCTTGAGAATATTTCGCTCGTATGACGACGTGCATGCTTGTGTGTATGTGCGGCTGCTTGTACTAGCCCAGACTTAGGCTGGTTTTATAGTGCTAGCCCACTGATACCATGACGCAGTGAAGCATGATTACCCCACTCAGACACATTATACTGACTCCGAGCCGACCAGTCTTTGTTGTACCCATTAATGCCGAGCGCCAGGCAGGGACCAACAAGAACCATATTTTTACGTCTTTTGGTATGACGCGGTCGGGGATCGAACCCGCGACCTTCTGCTCTCCGGGCGGATGCTCTAACCACTACACCACGGAGGCGGTCTGGTAATATGAAGGTTGGATGTCACTATGTTTGAGAAGACAAACTTGTACCTGCAGATCGAAAGACTGCATGCAGTGTAATCCATGAGTGCCGGTGTCTAAACATGAAACAAACGAGAAATGGTTGTTCAATGACACCTTACAACTTAAGTTTGTTTGTTGTTTAACACCGCACTCAGCAATATTCCAGCTACATGGTGGCGCTCTGTAAATAATCGAGCCTGGACCAGACAATCCAGTGATCAACAGCATGAGCAACGATCTACGCAATTGGGATACGAGACATGTGTCAACCAAGTCAGCAGCCTGATCCCGTCAGTCACCTCTTACGACAAGCATGGGTTACTGAAGATCAATTCTAACCCGGATCTTCACGTGTCCGTTAAACAACAAACTAATGTTAGCCCGAATTCTAATCGAGCCTGGACCAGACAATCCAGTGATCAACACCATGAGCATCGATAGACACAGATGGAATACGATGACACGTGTCAACCACGTCAGTGGGTGTCATCCCTCGATCCCGTTAGTCGCCTCTTACCACTAGCATGGGTTCCTGAAGACCAATTCTAACCCGGATAATACATGTATTTCCCCATTGTAATATCAAATATTAGTGACACTAATTGTATTTATACCTGAGTCAGTAGAATAATTTCTTAAATAGTGCAATGGTAGAATGTTTGAGTGAACCGCCCCATTCAAAATATGCGAAATAATATGAAGGCATGTTTATTTACAGAAACACCGTACGATCGGTAAAACGATGTCTATACATACAAGGAGCAAAGAACCAGCAGTATAACAATGCGAAGTGTACTTATCGTAAGCGTCTGATTCACTTTTTCGGCAAATATATTGTGTTTGGACATTATTAGTTGTTCACTGGTCACGAGGTCCCTTCGGACATAGAAGGTACATCATCAACCCATGGCCCCGAGGGACCAGTGAACAACGTATTTATCTTACCGAACACCTTAATGTTAATTTTGAACTGTTTGAAGCATGAGTATTGGATCATAATAAGGAGTACCGGAGTTAGGCAACAGCCCCAAACACTACTAACACGCAGTACAAAACGAATTCCCACAGTTCGGCATTCCCAGCGGGTAACACAGAAAATGTCACTCGCTTGTATGACAAAGACGTTTATGTGTGAGGTAAGATAATATCATGTATCGCGGCGTTCTGAAGACATTCCAGCACAAACGCTCGTACGCATTGATTTCAGTGCACGTTGGAACCGGGGGTCGAAAAATCCATACAGGAAACAGTTGGATACATTCGTCATGTAATGAAGGCTGTATAGCATAATTACAAATTTGTTATCGAGGATTAACAGTTGTTTTCCACCGACATGAAATATTACAAGCAAAACTAGGAACGGAAGACATGCTATTACATACACCACGGTAATGATTAAGAATACCAGTGTCATTCTCTTCCAAGGTAGTCGTGGCCCTTTTGAGAAGGAGGTGTGGCCACCCTTTACCCCACGAATATTTCCCTTTACCTTGGATGGAACGTTCACTTCTTCTGTGACCTTTGATGATGTTCCCACTTTCGAATACTGTTCTCTTGAATCAGTATCACCCTCACTGTTGTCCTTGGGTTTGGAGCCCGCTGATGGACGATGTATCTGTTCCTCGGATGTCTCTGACGCGGGGTCTTGTTCCGTAGTGGTGGACATTGAGGCTTGCGTGTCATTATGTTGAACATTACTTGTGCCACATTCGGTTAAAAGGCGGGAGGGTTTTGTCTGGCAAGACGTGTCAGGATTAGTCGGAATTGAAACTGCTCTTTTTGTCCCTTCAGTGTATTTACCTGCTGAGGCAGCTGTCCTTCTTCGTAACATCTCAACACAGTTGTCAGAAACAGTCTCCTCATTTTCTTGGGACCTTGCTCTTGTAATTGGTTCCATGGTATTGTCTAGGTTTTCTTGTGGGTTCCTCTGTGAAGCGGAACTGGTACAGCGTATCCTTGGTGATACAGCCTGGAGATTCCTTGTTTCAACCACAGTGGTGCGTGACGAGTTGGTCACAGACCTTTTAGAAAGGGACTTTCTCGACAAAAGGGTCCTTCTACTCATGTGACGTACCTTGAACCCAATCAATGAATACATTATTATCACGACTGGAAGAGGAGCGAATACTGGCACGGCTATGTAGGCAAAATGTAAGTTCTTCCACAGAGTTATTTGGTAATCGTCTTTTAGATAATTGTTAGATATAGTTTCATCGGCTCGACAGTTTGG